CTAATGTGTGAAAGGGCCCATTTGCAAAGAAATCTATTACCAATAGATGGTGAGCTTGGCTACAATGTAGGATGTTTTAATACTTCTAAAGACTTATCCTATCTGTATCCTGAAAGTCCTCTGGATTCTTAAAAAAAAAAAAAAAAAAAAAAGACTTATCCTAAAGGTCACAAAAAGCTATAGACAAAGAAAGGAAGGACAAAGATAGGAAATTTGGCCAGATCAGATAGAGGAAGGACTGGCAGGCACTTTAGGTTTCTGCAGGCAAGGAGGCAAGACTAGGAAGGCCAGCAAAAGCTTTTCTTGGTCACCCCTTCAATTACCACTGGAGACTTGTGATTGCAGACTCTGCACTAAGGGGCTTAAATACCTCTCAGTTTCTATCAGGTGTCATATGCATGGCCATCTCTTGTTAGAGGTGCTTGAGTTCAATTCTTTTTTTTTTTTTTTTTTTTTTTTTGAGACAGAGTCTTGCTCTGTCGCCAGGCTGGAGTGCAGTGGTACAATCTCAGCTCACTGCAACCTCCACCTCCTGGGTTCAAGCGATTCTTCTGCCTCAGCCTCCCAAGTAGCTGGGACCACAGGTGTGTGCCACCACGCCCAGCTACTTTTTGTATTTATAGTAGAGATGGGGTCTCACCATGTTGGCTAGGATGGTCTTGATCTCTTGACCTTGTGATCTGCCCGCCTCAGCCTCCCAAAGTGCTGGGATTACGGGCTTGAGCCACCACACCTGGCCGTTTGAGTTCAATTCTTAATATTGTTGTCTTGTTGCCTGGGAGTTTCCAGTGGCCCTCTCTACTCCTCTACTTAGGTGGGGCTTCTCACTTACCCAGGTTCACAGGTGCCTGCAGGTGGGACAGGTGCTCATTCACTGCATTTTCATCATCCTATTTCTAGAATTCTAGAGTGCCCAATATGCTAAAGGTTAATCTCTGATTTAACAAGAGAATGGGCTGGGTGCCGTGGCTCATGCCTGTAACACTTTGGGAAGCCGAGGTGGGTGGATCACCTGAGGTCAGGAGTTCAAGACCAGCCTGGCCCATCTTAAACCCTGTGTCTAATGAAAATACAAAAATCAGCTGGGTGTGGTGGCATGCGCCTGTATTCCCAGTTACTCGGGAGGCTGAAGCAGGAGAATTGCTTGAACCAGGAGGTGGAGATTGCAGTGAGACAAGATTGTGCCACCACTGCACTCCAGCCTGGGTGACTTTGCAGCAAACAAAAACAAAAACAAAAAAAACAGAAGTGAGATCAAGCAACTTGCCCAATACAAAGCTCTTTGCACACACTTTTCTGTCCGAATCACCGAAATCTCTCTTTTCTAGGTTCACCTCAAGGCCTCATCTTTAAAGTTTTAGAGTATTTATTGTCAAAATCTATGTGTCTCAATTACGTATTCTCTGGTATTGTTCACAAGTGCTGTCTATGTCGGTCTTAACTCCCTACCTAGATGCTAAGTCCCTTGAACACAGATTCATGGCTTATACACAAGGGTTTCTCAAACTTTAAATGCACATAATCACCTGGGGAATTTGTAAAAATGGAGATTCTGATTCAGAAGGTTGGAGGCCCCAAATGGGGCCTCAGACTCTGCATTTCTAACAAATCCCCTTAGTTGTGGTTCCATGCTCCTGGCCCGGCACAGGACTCATTGATTGATTGATTGCTGTTCTGTCTTAGAAACCTTGCAGGGGTTCATTTTCTCTGCTAGACATTAGTTTTCCCTGTCTGTAGCATGTTAAAGGGTTAATAATCATTTGTCTTTGTGATGGGCAGGCAGTGTAGTGTGGCTGGTTAAAGCATGACTTTGAGCCACTCAAATAAAAAGCTAACATGTATTAAGTACTTACTGTGTGTTGGGCACTGGGTTATTTCTTTCTCTCTCCCTCCTCTCTCTTTCAGTCTTGCTCTGGGTGGGCGGGGCACAGTGGCTCATGCCTGTCATCCTAGCACTTTGGGAGGCTGATATGGGTGCATTGCCTGAGCTCAGGAGTTCAAGACCAGCCTGGGCAACATGATGAAACCTCATCTCTACTAAAATACAAAAAGTTAGCCGGGCTTGCTTGTGTGTTCCTTTAGTCCCAGGTACTCAGGGAGGCCAAGGTAGGAGAATGGCTTAGAACCTGGGTGGCGGAGGTTGCAGTGAGCTGAGATCATGCCATTGCACTCTAGCCTGGGTGACAGAGCAAGCCTCTGTCTCAAAACACACACAAGTGCGTGCCCCCGCCATTCCCCAAACCTGCCTTTTTTTTTTTTTTTTTTGAGACAGAGTCTCGCTCTTTCACCCAGGCTGGAGTGCAGTGGTACCATCTCAGCTCACTGCAACCTCTGCTTCCCGGGTTCAAGCAGTTCTACTGTCTCAGCCTCCTGAGTATCTGGGATTACAGGTGCACACCACCATACCTGGCAAATTTTTGTATTTTTAATAGAGACAGGGTCTCACCATGTTGGCCAAGCTAATCTCCGACTCCTGACCTCAGGTGACCCACCCACCTCGGGCTCCCAAAGTGCTGGGATTACAGGCGTGAGCTGTTGTGCCCAGCCCCTGCCAGGATTTTTATATCAGCTGATAGTTTTAAAATCATGACTGATTTTTCACAGTAATCACAGTTTTATGCCCTGTACAATTATACAGAACATGTTTCAAAAGATTTTGAATCAAAGAATGTTTAATATGCATAACTCATAACTCAAGTGAATTATGAATTTACTAATATAAAATTATTCTTCTTCTGGGTTTCGGGAGATCAAAAGCAGTAAATTTGACCAAAACAAAAATGCATTTGCTTTGAAACGTCTTTAAAATTCAAACTCAAACTAGTAAGCATTTTATTGATTAAAAATGGATTCTCCTTCTCAAAAGGAAAACATATTTCAGGTCTACTTTTTTTCTTAAGAGGAATGTGTGTGTGTGTTTGTATGCATGTATATATCTTCACAATAAACCTTGACTTAAGTGCTATTATTCCCATCTTAAAGGTTTGGAAACTGAGGCCATAAGAGTAAATGGCTTGCCCGCTTTTACACTGCTACTAGGGACTCACCCAGTATAGAAATTCAATTCTGTTGCTGGGTGCGGTGGCTCACGCCTATAATCCCAGCACTTTGGGAGGCTGAGCGGGCAGATTGCGTGAGCTCAGGAGTTCGAGACCAGCCTGGGCAACACTGTGAAACCCTGTCTCTACTAAAATAATACAAAAAATAAGCTGGGCGTGGTAGCGTGCGCCTGTAGTCCCAGCTACTTGGGAGGTTGAGGCAAGAGAGTTGCTTGAACCCGGGAGGCAGAGATTGCAGTAAGCTGAGATCGCGCCACTGCACTCCAGCCTGGGAGACAGAGCAAGACTCTTTCCCCCCCCCCCCAAAAAAAGGAATTCAATTCTGTTTTCAAACCCACATAATTTTTTTAACATTTAATTTTGAAAACTTAAAAACCTATAGAAAAGTTTTGAGAATGGTACAATGAACATGCATATTCCCTTCCTCTATATTCACCTGTTGTTACTATTTAAAAAAAAATTTTTTTTAGAGTCAAGGTCTTGCTGTGTTGCCCAGGCTGGTCTCCAACTCCTGGGCATAAGCGATCCACTCGCCTCAGCCTCCCAAAGTGCTGGGATTATAGGCATGAGCCACTGCGCCTGGTCAGTTGTTACTATTGTGCACATTTGCAAAACCCTCATCCTTTTTCCCTTCTTTTTTGTTTTTGAGACAGGGTCTTGCTCTATCACCCTGGAGCAAGGCACAATCATGGCTCACTGCAGCCTTGATGTCTGGGCTCAAGTGATCCTCCCACCTCAGCGTCCTGTGTAGCTGGGACCATAGGCAAGCACCACCATGCCTGGTTAAACTTTTTATTTTTATTTTTAATAGAGACTAGGGGGTGGGAGCGCCTCTCTGTGTTGCCCAGTGGTCTTGAACTCCTGGTCTCAAGCAATCCTCCTACTTTGGCCTCCCAAAGTGTTAGGATTACAGCCATAAGACACCATGCCCAGCTAAAGCCCTCATTCTTTTTTTTTTTTTTTTTTTTTAATCTTTTATTTACAGAGACAGGGTCTCACTGACTGTCTTGTTACCCAGGCTGGCCTTGAACCCCTATACTCAAGCTATCCTCCTGCCTCAGCCTCCCAAAGTGCTGGGATTACAGGCGTGAGCCACCACGCTTAGCTAAACTCTCATTCTTAATTACTGTACTGTTTATTAGGTATATGGTGGTCTTGGGATATTATATGATCCCTCTGTTTAATTTCTTTATTTGTAAGGGCATAAAAATATTGACATTGAGGGTTTTAAAAATGAGATTAAGTGAAATAGTGTACTTATTTTTTCAACAAATGTTTATTAATCTCCTACTGTGCTGGAATGAATACCAGACATTGTTCCAGGTCTGGACAAACCAAACAGCACAGTCCATACACTAACAGAACTTAGAATCAGAGGCGGGGAGGCCAGACAGTGAAGGGCACACAAGGCAATTTCAGGACATCTAAGCACTGGAGAGGAGACAACACCTTTAGACACAGTGGTCTGGGAAGGCTTACTAGAGGAGGTGACCCCTGGCCAGAAGCCCTTCCCACAGAGGGGAGTAAATGCAAAGACAGGGGAAGAGCGGTCCCGCCTGCCCAGAGTGAATGCTGAACATCTCTTTCACCAACACAGCAAGAGACTGGGGTACTTCCTTTTGTGGAGATTGTTTTTAGAAGAGAGCACACTTTGTCAGCTAGACTAGATCTTAATTTGGCAAAAGATAGGCTAGGCCAGCCAGTTTTTCACAATCTATTCCAGCTTGCACATTTATAACTCTTCTTCACAGGGTACGGCAAGCATGGATTTCTGAGAATCAATCTTTATAAAAGGTGCCTTGAATTCCTTGGTAATGATTTCCTTTTATGCATGTTACTTTTATTATTAATAAACTGCTTTTTAAATTAACAGTAGTTGCTGTCCAAAGGAAGTCTGATCTGTGTTTCTGAAATCTCAATAATCTTTTGTTTCTAATTAAGGAATTGGATGAAGACATGCATCAGAAAATTGCAAGGGAAATGAACCTCTCTGAAACTGCTTTTATCCGAAAACTGCACCCGACAGACAACTTTACACAAAGTAAATATGCATTTTTTTTTTTTTAACTGCCCTGTCGCCCAGGCTGGAGTGCAGTGGCATGATCTCGGCCCACTGAAACCTTCGCCTTTTGGGTTCAGGCAATTCTTGTGCCTCAGCCTTCCAAAGTGCTGGGATTATAGGTGGGGGCCACCACACCTGGCCTAAATATGCATTCTTTAAAATCATTCTTGAATGATACCAGAAATTATTTTTTAGGTAGGGGAATGATCTTTAAGGAAAATACCCCCTTGTTATTTGCATGCAGATAGTAGACAGAGCAGGAGATTCTAATTTGGTTTTCAGTTCATCTCGGGGAGGGGGTGTTGGTGAATCTGAATGTTTCCATTCCAGATCTAGCACTGGGGAGCCCTAGGATGCTTGCCTTGCCATCATTCCTCCTTTTACAACATGTTTCAGCTATTCATCATGCTAGAGAAATATTTAGGAAAGAGGAAAATGAGAAGTCTGTGACCTGCTTGCATGGGAATGATCTCATCTCTCTTTGGCTTTTCCTACCCTCAGGTTCTTGCTTTGGACTAAGGTGGTTTACACCAGCGAGTGAGGTCCCACTCTGTGGCCACGCCACCCTGGCTTCTGCAGCTGTGCTGTTTTACAAAATAAGTAATGTGATTTTCTTTAATTAATCTAACACTTAGCAAATGGCAATTTTTTTTTTAAAGTTCTCACACTTTTTCTGGTGGTTCAAAGTGACTGGTATAAAGACTTCACAGAGTTTACTTCATGCTATTCAGAAAGAAAAACAGCAAACTTCAATAGCACTTAGGCCTTTCTGAGTATGTGCCCAGCATCATTGGAAAGCTGCAGTCAGAATGCCATTTTATTTATTTTATATTTTTATTTTACTTTACTTTCTGGTCTACAAAGAGTTTGACAACCATTTCATTTTATTATTATTATTTTTTGAGACAGAGTCTCACTCTGTTGCCCATGCTGGGGTGCAGTGGCATGATCTCAGCTCACTGCAACCTCCACCTCCCGGGTTCGAGTGGTTCTCCTGCCTCAGCCTCCCGAGTAGCTGGGATTACAGACTCCCACCACTGCACCCAGCTGATTTTTGTATTTTTAGTAGAGATGGGGTTTCACATGTTGGCCAGGCTGCTCTCGAACTCTTGGCCTCTGGTGATCCATCCACATAAGCCTCCCACAGTGCTGGGATTATAGGTGTTATCCACTGCGCCTGGACTCATTTTAAACCAGAGATCTCTGGTTTTGTGGAGCTTGCATGGGCAGAATTGTCATCTCATACGATATGATATCAGGGACCAACAGGCACATTTCACTCCAATTATTTCCCCTCCCACACTGAAATTCATTTCACAATAAGAGATTCTTCCTTTTTTTTAAGATGGGGTTTAGCTTAGTTGCCCAGGCTGGAGTGCAGTGGTGGGATCTCAGTTCATTGCAACCTCTGACTCCTGGACTCGAGCCATTCTCCCACTTCAACCTCCCAAGTGGCTGAGACCACAGGCGCACACCACCACACCTGGCTAATTTTTGTATTTTTTGTAGAGACAGGGTTTTGCTATGTTGCCCAAGCTGGCCTCAAATTTCTGAGCTCAAGTGATCCGCCCACCTTGGCCTCCCAAAGTGCTGGGATTAGAGGCATGAGCCACCACGCCCAGCCAATAAGAGCTTCTTTGCTTGAATTTTAAAGATTCCTGGGCCCCCACAGTATGCATTCACCTTAAGAGGAGTTGCAGCACCTTAATTCTGCCAGTTTCTATCATAGCTGAATTTAGTTTAATGGATAGAGATCCGGGCCTTGTGGGAATGGGACAGAGAAGAGATTTCTGGAAAATGTCCCAAAACAGGAGATGGAAGCAGCCGTAAACAAGAATAAACAGCAAACGGAAATGGAAACAAGAAAATAAACAGGATGATACAACAGAGGTCACTGTGGGGATTGGGCAAAACCTCGTCTCTACTAAAAATACAAAAATTATCCAAGTGTGGTGGTGCACGCCCAGCTACTCAGAAGGCTGCGGCAGGAGAATCGCTTGAACCTGGGAGGCAGTCACTGCAGTGAGCCAAGATCGCACAATTGTACTCCAGCCTGGGCAACAGAGCGAGACACCATCTCAAGAAAAAAAAAAAAAAAAAAAAAGAAAGAAAGCAAGATTGATTACAGGAAGGAATTGAACTGTAGAGTAGTAGCAACAAAGAAAGGCTTAGGCCAAATCCATAGGGAGCTCTGAAGCTGGGCATTTTTTCAAGTAGTATAGTTCCAAGTAGAGGCAAAGAGTCAGGCCTTTTTACCCTCCATGGACCGGTCCCCAAAGCTTGGAAAAGATGTATGACTTTGGGCAAGGTAGCTCTACTCAGCCAAGGGTAACTCCAAGAGAGCGACTCAGCTGAGAGATGTGGGCCACCAGCACACTGGGCAAGCAGGGTCAGGGCCGGGTGTAGGGAGAGCCAGCAAGGCCCCAGGTTGCAGCTGACACAGCAGGTGCCTCCCTACACTTTGCACCCTATGGTACTTCCTTGCCTCATGGAGTCCCAGCCCAGAGGCCATGGGTCACATATAGAATATGGATCAGGACCCACCAGAGATGGGGAAATTTGGGCTAAAGGATAAGATGAAGCATCTGTGCGATGAGCTGGAGTGAGAGGAGCAGCATCCCAGGCAGAGGCTAGCAAGTGCAAAGCCCCTGGGGCCTGTCTATATGCTTGGCAAGAGATAAAGTTGAGAGGCCATATAATGTAATTCAATATACATTTCAAAAAGATGATATTGGTAACTGTGGATAGGGGATACGTGCAAAGGCAAGCAAACATCCCGAAATGTTTAGGAACTGAGTCTTGAAAAATAGGGTTTATTGAAATTAGATTGAGTGTCTTTTGTTTTTGTTTTTTTGACATGAGTTTTACTCTTGTCACCCAGGCTGGAGTGCAACGGCAAAATTTTGGCTGACTGCAACCTCCACCTCCTGGGTTTAAGCGATTCTCCTGCCTCAGCTTCCCAAGTAGCTGGGATTACAGGTGTCTGCCACCATACCTGGCTAATTTTTGTGTTTTTAGTAGAGATGGGTTTTACCATGTTGGCCAGACTGGTTTCAAACTCCTGACCTCAGGTGATCCACCTGCCTCAGCCTCCCAAAGCGAGATTTGGGAGTGTCTTTTGAAAACTGGACTCCACATGGGTTGGTTTGATGCCGAGGTTTGGAATAATCACACCCTGGAACCCTTCATAGGGCAGTCTTACTGTTAGATGAGCTAAGGTATGAAAAAATGCTTTGTAAATAATAATGTCTTATACCAATTGTAATGAGAAAAATTAAGCTTTGAGTTTCCAAGTGTAAAGTTTATGCTCAGTGAAAATTATTAAGCCAAAGTTCTTCACCTTTGACATGTGGTTTAAGTTTTACAGAAATATTAAGGGGGAGAAAAGAATTAGGTCACCATTCTTTGTTTTCATTAAAAATGTTATACACACTTATAAGTAGCGCAAGCTGTATCAGCAACATGGATGCCAGGATTTGTGGTGCATTCTTTTTTGTCTGTGTGTGTGGTTTTTTTGTTTGTTTGTTTGTTTTTTGAGACAGGGTCTCACTCTGTCTCCCAGACTAAAGTGCAATGGCATTAATCTTGGCTCACTGCAACCTCCACCTCTTGGGTACAAGCGATTCTCCTGCCTCAGCCTCCCAAGTAGCTGGGACTACAGGCATGTGCCATCACCCTTTTTTTTTTCTGAGGACAGAGCCTCACTCTGTTGCCCAGGCTGGAGTGCGGTGGCACAATCTCGGCTCACTGCAACCTCCGCCTCCCAGGTTCAAGTGATTCTCCTGCCTCAGCCTCCCGAGTAGCTGGGACTACAGATGCGTGCCACCATGCCCAGCTAAATTTTTGTCTTTTTAGTAGAGACGGGGTTTCACCACTTCACTCCAGCCTGGGCAACGCAGTGAGACCCTGTCTCAAAAAGAAAAAAAGGAGGCTAAGTTAGTAAGGGCACAGTTAGTAAGCAATAAAGAGCTGGGATCTGAAGCCTTGATGTATGATGCCACATTCAATCAGTTATGTTTTTGGTTCTCAAGTTAGAATCTAGTGAGAGTTTTCTCCATTCTAGACCCCAGCAACCCAAACCTCGCTCCATCACAGAAAAGGATGGCATCGCCAGAAAGTCTAAGACAACGCAAAGGTGTTTGAAATAGACATGCATATATATGACAAAAGTTTATTTCCTATTTCTTGATTTCTGTTTTGGCCAGAAAATATGAATAGCACGCTCTCATTTGTCACTCTGAGTGGGGAACTAAAGGCCAGACAAGCAGAGGATGGCATCATTCTGGACTTGCCTCTTTATCCAGCCCACCCCCAGGTCAGCTCTTTGTAATTATTGCCCTAAGGTGTGTGCAACCGACAGCTCTCCTGCTTTATAATAATTTTATTTTTTTTTCTCCCATCTAGAACTTCCATGAAGTAGAGGATTTGATAAAGGTTGGTAAAAAGAATCAAACCTGAGCCTAGTTATTGGTTATTGTTTGCACAGAAAGATTTAGTACCATTTGATCCCCAAAGACAGGTCTTCTACCAATATAAATGTTACAGTGTTTCAAGTTTGAATTTTAATATTCATTCTATTTGGTGAGAAGGTTGACCAGTTTTTCTTGGCTCCTGATTGCCAGTGCTGGCCCCCATGGTAGGGTGGAGGGAAGAGACACTGTTGTGTGGCAGGCTGAAAGCCACAAAAGAACCAATAGAGGTGGCGAAGAAGACGGAGAATAGGATGTCTTAAGGAAATGTAAGTTTCTGGGAGGAGACTAGCTTTTAGGGAAATGAAGGGATATTGAATGTCTGTGCTTCTCTAGCTAGAAGGAGAGGAATAGAGGAATGGGCCCAGAGCATCTCCATGCAAGTTCAGGTGTGAAAGTTGGGAATTTCTGGCAGAAAGAGATAATCCCATAAAATCCATACACACAAGGTGGAGGGAAAAAAGATGGAAGCTTCCTGGCAGCTGTCGGTGTCCCCAGTTTCTGTAGTAAAGGATGGAACTGAGGTGGGGGAGGGACGTGCTTTGATGGAGGAAACCAAGAAAGCATGAGTATCTTGCAGAGAAAACGATGCGGAACATGGGCCCCTCATGGGGTCTGTGTGGGCATGGGGCTTAAATATTAATGATGATGAAACATTTGAGAGTCTCTCTGTGTGCAGTGCCACTTGCTGAGCATTTCACTTGCATCGTTCATTTAATTCTCAATGTTTCTCAGTGAGGTGGGCACTGCAGTTGTCCCACGGAGGTTCTGCAGGGCCAGAGCAGCCCTGGATGACCAGGTGCTTGGTGCGTAGAGAAGAGAGGACCCAGGTCAGGACCAGGGCAAGGGCTGTTATGAGAAGAATGATTCTGTAGCTTAGTCTATTGTGAGTACTACTGGGGTATTTCTCAGTGAATTTTTAACTACAGCATTTGGAATCTCTTTAGTGTTTGGCTTTATCAATGTTTTCAAGGAATATAAACAAATAAGCATGATGGATCCTGATTTTATACTCAGCCCCACCCATGGCTTGGGTTTCTGGAGACACGCCAAATTTAAAAACAAACTGCTTTAAACATACTGGTAAGAAAGTGGGAAAAAATTTATAATGGCAGACCATGTTCATGGTAGAAAGAACTTAACTTTGCCTCAGAGTCAGCATTTATTAAATGTGATAATAAAGGGTTGTAAGTATTGTCATTTTGTGTTCTTCCCTAGAAACTGGCAGTAAGATTCCCAGCCGATAATTAAACTTTTTTTTTTTTTTTTTGAGACGTAGTTTTGCTCTTGTGGCCCAGGCTGGAGTGCAATGGTGCAATCTCGGCTCACCGAAACGTCTGTCTCCTGGGTTCAAGCAGTTCTCCTGCCTCAGTTGCTAGTAGCTGGGAATACAAGCATGTACCACCATGCCCAGATAATTTTGTATTTTTAGTAAAGATGGGGTTTCTCCATATTGGTGAGGCTGAACTTGAACTCCCAACCTCAGGTGATCTGGCCACCTCGGCCTTCCAAAGTGCTGGGATTACAGGCATGAGCTACCGTACCTGGCCTTAAACTATTTTTTGACATGAAGTTTTACTTTGTAGCCCAGGCTGGAATGCAGTGGCATGATCTCAGCTCACTGCAACCTCCGCCTCCCAGGTCCTGGTTCAAGCAATTCTCCTACCTCAGCCTCCCAAGTAGCTGGGACTACAGACATGAGCCACCGTGCCCAGCTAATTTTTGTATTGTTTAGTAGAGATGGAGTTTCACCATGTTGGCCAATCTGGTCTTGAAGTCCAGACCTCATGATCCACCTGCCTCCGCCTCCCAAAGTGCTGGGATTTAATCAACGTGGATACACATGCAGATAAGGGCAGGGTTTGAGAGACCTGCAGATAAGGGCAGATAAGGGCAGGGTTTGAGAGACCAAGGCTCTGGAGAACAGATGGGATCTGGCTATACGTAGAATTCCCATATCTTGAGGAAGTGACGTTGGTCAGCCCATAGTCACAGAGGGAGAAAGCTCAAGTACCACCCCAGGCAGAAGGAATTCTGTCTGTGGGAACTGGAGTATCTTGGCCTCTAACAAGGTTTAGGGAACCTGAAGCCACCTAGCAATTACCATACAACTACTGCGTAATTAGCATCTGCTGGGCCTGGCAGCTGGGAGTGGTGCCAAAGGATGACTTGTTGGTGTGGGAAGGGGTTGTCGCCTCGTAATCTCCCTCAGTGCTCCAAGCCACCCTCAAACAAGCATATGAACAAATGATGTTCCTGGATTGCAGCAAGATTATCTGCAGTCAGGTAGACTAAACCAAGGTATCCTGAGAGCATGTTGTTATTGATCTGTCACATACAATCTGAGTGAAAGTGGTATGCTTGCCAAGCAGAGCAGTGTAAGACGAGTCCTCTAGTCCTTACTTCCAGTCAAACTGCTAGTCCTGAGTCCTTGCCATGTGGAATGTTCTAATTGCTGCTGCAGGAACTCACATGAATGATTTCATTTAATCCTCACAGCTCTAAGAGGTGGACATAAGGCCTCCCATCTCCAAAGACAGTGGTCAGTAGGGATTTAGAGCTTTTTCTCTGACCTCAGACCTGGGTCAAGGATTGTGTGTGTGTGTGTGTGTGTGTGTGTGTGTGTGATCTTTGGCCTTTCTAAGTCTCTTTCTCCTTCTCTGTGGGGAGAATACCTACTTGAAGGAGCTGTGCATTAAGGTACATAATAGGCACTTGTGAGCAATGCCTGTGTTTTTGTTTTTGTTTTTGTTTTTGTTTTTGTTTTTTGAGATAAAGTCTCTCCCTGTCTCCCAGGCTGGAGTGGAGTGGTGCAATCTTGGGCAAGTGATTCTTGGTTCATCAGGTTCAAGTGATTCTCTTGCCTTAGCCTCTGAAGTAGCTGGGATTACAGGCATGCACTACTGTGCCTGACTAATTTTTTAATTTTTTTTTTTTTTTTTTTGAGACGGAGTTTCACTCATGTTACCCAGGCTGGAGTGCAATGGCGCGATCTCGGCTCACTGCAACCTCCGCCTCCTGGGTTCAGGCAATTCTCCTGCCTCAGCCTCCTGAGTAGCTGGGATTACAGGCACGCACCACCATGCCCAGCTAATGTTTTGTATTTTTAGTAGAGACAGGGTTTCACCATGTTGACCTGGATGGTCTCAATCTCTTGACCTCGTGATCCACCTGCCTCGGCCTCCCAAAGTGCTGGGATTACAGGCTTGAGCCACCGCGCCCGGCCTTAATTTTTTAATTTTTAGCAGAGACGGGGTTTTACCATGCTGGCCAGGCTGGTCTTGAACTCCTGACCTCAGGTGATCCACCTACCTCAGCCTCCCACAGTGCTGGGATTACAGGTGTAAGCCACTGTACCTGGCTGCAATGCCTGTTCTGAGGCTCACAGAGGCGTCTGTGGTAGCCAGGAGACTGATCATCCTTGGGCAACAGCTTAAGCTCTGAAACTGCACTAACGCTCTTGGGGACTGGAGACAATGGGTATGCTTGGCTCACAGTGGATGCTCAGTGAGAGCTCATTCCCCATTTCAGGGGATCAATGACTTGACCCAGGGCATGCCCCTGAGGAGATTTTGGTCTGTCTCTACAGACTGCCATAGGCAACACACTGGTCCAGGACGTCTGTTATTCTCCAGATACCCGAAAGCTTCTCGTCCGCCTAAGTGACACTTACAACAGGTAAGATTTTTGGCTGCATCAGCACTTTGGGGAGGGCTGACTGCCCAGATTTGTAGCTCTGCCTTGGTCTGGTTGTGCTGTGTGCAGTCAAATCATGATTTATGCAGCCAGAGTGTTTCTTTCCCTGGTCGGAAGACATTACCACTTGTTCTTCCCTCCCCTCCTGCTGAGCTGCTTGAGCAAGCTGCACCCCGGCCTGTTTTACAGAGTCTGTCTGGCGAGTGGGCTGTGAAATGGGTTTGTCCTAATCCATCTCGTTTATGAACAAGGTCATTTCTGGAGAACCTGAAAGTGAACACAGAAAATCTGACGCAAGTTGAAAACACAGGGAAGGTGAAAGGACTTATTCTTACCCTCAAAGGAGAGCCTGGTGGGCAGACCCAAGCATTTGACTTTTACTCCAGATATTTTGCACCGTGGGTTGGTGTGGCTGAAGACCCAGTGACAGGTACTTTTTACTTGAGCTCAAGGGAGGGTAAAACAATGGAAGAGGAGGATTGCAAATAGTTATTTAAGTGCACTTCCTGTGACCTTTCAGGTGGCATGGGTTTTGAGCTGCCTTGTTCCTCTATCTCTCCCCCTCCCTGCCATCCCTTCACTGAAGTCTCACAAGAAAAACAAAATAGAGCAGGCAGATAGCAGGGTTAAACCTGAGTGTCAGACAGCCTGGGTTTACATTACTAGCTTCCAAGCTCTTGACCTTGAGCAAGTGACTTGATTTTCAAAAGTCTCAGTTCCCTCCTCTATAAATTGTGTGTAATACCTCATAGGGCTATAAAAACACAATGCATGTTAAGGGCTTAATACAGTGCCTGGCACATGGTAAGTGCCCAATAACTACTAGCTATTTTATTTCATGATTATGTTTGTTTTTTTTTTGAGACAGAGTCTCACTTCATCATCCAGGCTGAATGGAGTGGCATGATCTCAGTTCATTGCAACCTTGGCCTCCCAGGTTCAAGTGATTCTCTTGCCTCAGCCTCCCAAGTAGCTGGGACCCACCAGCACACCTGGCCAATTTTTCTGTTTTTAGTAGAGATAGGGTTTAACCATGTTGGCCAGCCTGGTCCCGAACTCCTGACCTCAAGTGATCTACCCTCCTCGGCCTCCCAAAGTGCAGAGATTATGGGCATGAGTCACTGTCCCTGGCCAACTACTAGCTATTTTAATAATAACAGCAAAACTATCTCCTTGAGCCAACAACTCTAGATTATTCACCTGGAAGCAGAGGGATGGAGTCAAAAATGGGCAGAAATGTTATGACTTCTACTCTCACCCTCTTTGGGAACAGTGAGCTGAGCTGCAAAGGACAAGAATGCTTGAAGTGGGAGGATGGTGGGTGGGATGACGAACGGGGCCACAGGGGTTGAATAGAGCCTTCAAGACCCCTGTTCTGGTCAGGTGGCAGGGCTTGGATGGCTCAGTTACTCTCTGAGGAACAAAACACATGAAATTCAAAACTCAACAACAAGCACTTCTAAAGACTCAGGAAAATACCCAGCAACATCCCAACAGTCCAACTTCCCCATGGAAGAAAAGTTCTGAGCAGATTTGTACATACATGCACAGCTGCTTCTCAAAGATTCTAATTGGCCCAGAGTGCAAGTTTTTTTTTTCCTGTAATAATGCTTTTCTAGAGTGTAAAGATCCTTGGACTTTGATGACCAACCATCTGGGTTTGCTTGAGACTGAAGGGTTTCTCAGGATGCAGAGCTTTCGGTGCTAAAACCAGGATGGTCTCGGCCAACCAGGATGGTTGGTTGCGTTACTTGAACGACCCACGACACTTTTTTTTTTTTTTTTTGAGACAGAGTTGCACTCTGTTGCCTGGGCTGGAGTACAATGGCACGATCTCAGCTCACTGCAACCTCTGCCTCGCAGGTTCAAGAGATTCTCCTGCCTCAGCCTCCCATGTAGCTGGGATTACAGGCACCTGCCATCATGCCAGGCTAATTTTTTGTATTTTTAGTAGGGACAGAGTTTTACCATGTTGGCCAGGTTGGTCTCAAACTCCTGGCCTCAGGTTATCCACCCACCTCGGCCTCCCAAAGTGCTGGGATTACAGGTGTGAGCCACTGCACCCAGACCTATAGCACTTAATATGTTTTCCTAAATGAGAGGCTTTTCCTCTCCATCTTTTTCTCCCCAAAATATTTTTCTGTCAGTTATTGCTGTATATTTTGTTTTTTCATTTTAAAATCTAATCTCTGATCTAAATCCAGAGTACAAAAGTGAAAACAAACCTCGCTAAAAAGGAAGTTCTTTTGGCACCAAAAGCTCAGGAATGTTAGCTTGGTGGAGAATTTAGCCTTTTAGCCAGGTGCGGTGGCTCATGCCTGTAATCCCAGCACTTTGGGAGGCCGATGTGGGAAGATTCCATGGGGCCAGTAGTTTGAGATCAGCCTGAACAACATAGGGAGACCCCATCTCTACTAAAGAATTAAAAAATAATAAAAGAGGGCCGGGCGTGGTGGCTCAAGCCTGTAATCCCAGCACTTTGGGAGGCCAAGGCGGGTGGATCACGAGGTCAACAGATCGAGACCATCCTGGTCAACATGGTGAAACCCCGTCTCTACTAAAAACTACAAAAACTTAGCTGGGCATGGTGGCACGTGCCTGTAATCCCAGCTACTCAGGAGGCTGAGGCAGGAGAATTGCCTGAACCCAGGAGGCGGAGGTTGCGGTGAGCCGAGATCGCGCCATTGCACTCCAGCCTGGGTAACAAGAGCGAAACTCCGTCTCAAAAAAAAAAAAAATAATAATAATAATAAAAGAAAAGAAAATTTAGCCTTTTTTTCCGAGTTTCCACCTTTCTTTGCGTATGCACTCTGGAAAGAAGGAGATACTTTCCCTGGAAAGATGTAGAAAGATTTATACAAGGTTGGGCGTGATGGCTCATGCCTGTAATCCCAGCACTTTGGGAGGCTCAGGTGAGTGAATCACTTGAGGTAAGGAGTTCAAGACCAGCTTGGCCAACATAGCAAAAAACCGTCTCCACTAAAAATACAAAAATTAGCTGGGCATGGTGGCATATTTTGACTACTCAGGAGGCTGAGGCAAGAGAATCTCTTGAACCCAGGAGGTGGAGGTTGTAGTGAGCTGAGATTGTGCCACTACACTCCAGCCTGGGGAACAGAGCAAGACTCTGTCAAAAAAAAAGCAGAACAAAAAAAAAAAAGTATGCAGAGGCCTTGATTTTCCTACCAAGAGCTAACAATGAGCCGATAGATAAGACAATAATTAAAACCTGCAGTCTAATTCAGCCTTAAGAAACTGTAAGGACCAGTCACAGTGGCTCATACCTGTAATCCCAATACTTTGGGAGGCTGAGGTGGGAGGATCTCTTGAGCTCAGGAGTTCAAGACCAGGCTGGGCTACATGGCAAAACCCCATCTCAGGGCCGGGCGCGATGGCTCACGCCTGTAATCCCAGCACTTTGGGAGGCCGAGGCGGGTGGATCACGAGGCCAAGAGATCGAGACCATCCTGGTCAACATGGTGAAACCCCGTCTCTACTAAAAATACAAAAAATCAGCTGGGCATGGTAGCGCATGCCTGTAATCCCAGCTACTCAGGAGGCTGAGGCAGGAGAATTGCCTGAACCCAGGAGGCGGAGGTTGCGGTGAGCCGAGATCGCGCCATTGCACTCCAGCCTGGGCAACAAGAGTGAAACTCCGTCTCAAAAAAAAAAAAAAAAAAAAAAAATCTCTACAAAAAATACAAAGGTTAGACAGGCATGCTGACATGCACCTGTAGTTCCAGCTACTTGCAGAGGGCTGAGGTAGGAGGATGACTTAAGAATGGGAAGTCAAGACTGCAGTGAGCCATGATTGTGCCGCTGCACTGCAGGCTGGACAACAGAGCATTATTTTGTCTCAAAAAAAGAAAAAAGGAAAGAAACTAAGACATATTTGATACATAATTTGGCAGAGTTTATCCATAAATTCTATGTCTTCCTTTCTATCTCCATTCATAATTCTATACCCTGCTGTGGGCTGGCCAACATAATGATTAGGTGATCTAGGGTTTAGGCAAACTGGATAATTGATTGTAAATGCTTAGTAATTTATCACAAAGTTGCCTCTGTTTTCTTTGGGATTGTCTCCTAACTTTTCACTTCTTTTAAGGGTCTGCGCACGCTGTTCTCAGCAGCTACTGGTCGCAGCAGCTGGGGAAGAAAGAAATGCATGGTAGGACAGCTCTTTACCAATTTATTTTTTATTTGCCTAATTCCAATCCAGTGTTCCATATGCACTATCCCCTTGAAAATGTAATAAAATGTTATGTATCACCCATGTGAAAATGAAAGGTTTTTAAGATTCCATTCCTTCACCCTTAAAGATCCTTCATCCCAAACATCTTCACCTCTGCCTCCCCAACACACAGAGACTGTATGGACACAGACACAGTAACTGCCCAATAAGTGTTTGTTGAATAAAATTAACTAGCTGTATAACTTGGGACGAGAGAGGTTATTTATAATGTGATGGGTTGAGATTGGTTGATCAGCACGGTTCCTTACTGCTATTGCTAGTCACAGGATTGAATCAAACAAATTACTTTGGAACCAAGTCCCCTAGTGATAATGTATTGCTTAGGGGCAGAGAAAAATGATTGCCGCTGATGGAGGCTGCACTGCCCTGATCATCCAAGGAGTCTGTGACCCTGATTTGGAGAGAGCAGGGTGGCTATTCATTTTTTTTGGCGAGTCTAATTATTCTCTTAAGTACTGAACTCCTGGAAGACTGAGGCTATGCCTCTTTTGTCTGCCTGGCACACGTCGTTGCTTGAACATGTTATGAGTGAATGAACTCCCTCTGTCCTGTTCAGAGCTGAGAAGATGGGGGCCTTCTCAGAAGGGCCAAGACCACCCCTCGTCATCTTCTTAGACTCTACTTTTTCAAACATCTTTGCTTATTCTTCGAGAGAGGGGAAGAAAGGATGAGTGGGGTGTGTCTGGGCCATTATAGGAAGTGGCCCAGGAAAAGGCTCAGGAAGGGAGTATGTGGAGCTGTATGTTTTTAGATCAAATTGAGTTTGTGGTCCTCTCAGTTTGCTGGAGAATGAGGGTGGGAGTGGGCAATACCATAAACAGATGAAGGAATTTATTCTTGAAACTGATCTGGGAGGACTCTAGGATTTGTAATAAGAAATCTTTCATTATGCTCTGTTAACTTAAAACGGTGAAAATGCTCTTAATTTGACTCGTTTGTTTTCTTCAGCATTTCAGTGTTCCCGCCGAGGTGGAGAGCTGGGGATTTCACTTCGTCCAGATGGAAGGGTTGACATTAGAGGAGGTGCAGCTGTTGTTTTAGAGGGCACACTGACAGCCTAGAGGTGGTTGTGCTATGATGCCGCGGTCTCTAACCACCAAGTATTTTCTGCATAAAAAGAAATGTAAGGGACTGCCTTTAGCAAATGCGCATCGTTGCCCACTTAATCCTCATGTTAAAAATTTTAAAATGGGCTGGGCACAGTGGCTCACACCTGTAATCCTAGCATTTTGGGCGGCTGAGGTGGGCGGATCACCTGAGGTCAGGGGTTCTGTACCAGCCTGGCCAACATGGCAAAAACTCATCTCTACTAAAAATACAAAAATTAGTTGGGCATGGTGGTACATTGCCTGTAATCCCAGCTACTTGGGAGGCTGAGGCAGGAGAATTGCTTGAACCCAAGAGGCAGAGGTTGCAGTGAGCTGAGATCGCGACACTGCACTCCAGCCTGGGTGACAGAGTGAGACTCCGTCCCCACCCCCCAAAAATTGAAAAATGAAGACATTTTAATGGAGATTTAATAATGCTTCCAGACTAATGAACTAATGGAGTTTTGGCTCCACTTATGAGTGTATTTGAAAAGTAAGTAACCAGTTACAAAGAATAATGCTACTTCATTTCATTATGACTACCCGTCAGAGAAAGAGGAATACATTTCTGAGGAGTGAAACTAAACCATTTGAACTTAAATGAGTACCTGATTTTGCAGCCATTAAAATGAGTCAATAACTATGTGGGAATATAGAAAAATATTTTATAACGCTAAGAAAAAAGAGGACAATAGGCCATAAAATGTTAGCAATGTTATGCTATGTCTATATAGACAAGCATGGGCCATGAAAGATAGCAAAGGGGAAACAGTTCATGTGTGGGAGACGATTAGAAGTCATTTGAATGTATCTAAGAAGTGATTTCCTTTATTGTTTCGCTCATGTACAAAGACTAAAAATCAGGACAAATCCAGAAAATTAAAAAAATATGTATTAGGCTGCTTCCTGTTATAGTGAAATTAAACACTAAAAGTAATGTGATCTCAGCTGGGCATGGTGGCTCATGCCTGTAATCCCAGTGCTTTGGCAGGTTGAGTCCTGGTCAACACAGTGAGACCCTGTCTCTATTAAAGAAAAGTAATGTAATCTCAATCTTTTTCTTGATATATGGCTTGACAGTGATCATGTAAGAGGAATTCTTCTCTTACTTTAATAAAATGGGTTTTAACATAACTTTAAATTCAGTTAAATCTACAATATTGAATACCGGTAGTCGACTTTGGGATGGGGACTTTTTCAAGTCTTTATGAGTGTTTGCTTAAGGTGATCGCATTGATAGTAGTTCTCAGCCATCTCAAAAACTGCAAGCTAATCAGTTAGACATTCTTTAGTGACCTTAATATTTTCACTTTAATTGCTACTGTGTTTTCTGTTTTTACTGATCTTTGCTAATTTTATTATAGCAGTAATCTTGTGTTTCTCATGATTTGCAATAAAGTCAATAATTCACCAGCGTTAATGCCTTAACTTAATGAGTAACCAGTGGCCCTCACAGACCTCACAGTGGACCACAACACATCCATGGGTCATGATACTAAGGGTGAGAATTACCAGAGGGTTTTCACCAAATGTGGGATTTTCCCAACCTGAGACTGAACTGTGTGAATAATTTTATATAAATGCATAGCTGAGAGGGCCTGAATTTGATCAGGTCTGAATTTGATCTCTCAAATGTATGCTAATTTTTTTTTTTTTTTTTTTTTTGAGACAGAGTTTTACTCTGTTGCCCAGGCTGGCAGGATCATGGCTCACTGCAACCTCCACTGTCCAGGTTCAAATGCTTCTCACGACAGCCTCCAAAGTAGCTAGGATTACAGGCATCCACCACCATGCCTGGATAATTTTTGTATTTTTAGTAGAGATAGGATTTTGCCATGTTGGCCAGGCTGGTTTCAAACTCCTGGCCTCAAGTGATCCACCCGCCTTGGCCTCCCAAAGTGCTGGGATTACAGGTGTGAGCCACCGTGCCCAGTGGTGCTATATTCTTAATAGATATTTTTGGGAAAAAAGTCTCTGTGATAACTCTGGATTCCTTTTTGCATGAAAGTTGTCATTTGTAGCACCTGACTTGACTGTTCATCTTATATTTTCAAACCACATATTCACTTGTGTGATTTTTAAAAGATAGTCCAATGGATAGTTGAGTCCGAATAGTCAGAAAACTTATTTTTTTTTCTGTACATACACTGTTTATGTAAGAATACTGATTGGTTATGTATTTCCTCAGCCTGCTGAAAATGGACTCAGGGGCTGCAGTGCACATGTGTGTGGGAAGTAGTCACCAGGGAAGAAGGGGCCAGGGCAGGAGAAGGACACCCAAATAGATACACAAGGCATCTATTTATCTTTATATAAATATGCCTACATTTATATAAAAATAAACATATTTAAACACTAAGGCTGGACACGGTGGCTCATGCCTGTAATCCTAGCACTTTGGGAGGCTGAGGTGGGTGGATCACTTGAGGTCAGGAGTTCGAGATCAGCTTGGCTAACATGGTGAAACCCCATCTCTACTAAAAATATAAAAATTAGCTTGGCATGGTGGCAGGTGCCTGTAATCCCAGCTACTCAAGAGGTTGAAACAGGAGAATTGCTTGAACCCAGGAGGGAGAAGTTTTAGTGAGCTGAGATCACACTACTGCACTTCAGCCTGGGTGACAGAGTGAGACTGTCTAAAAATAAATAAATAAACACTAAAATCACATTTGGTCTGACATGAGCATGTGTAATCAAATTCTACTTAAATTAAATACAGTGTGATGGGATTTTAATTCACCAAGTGGGGAAGCTTATCATGTCTTAATGACAGCTACCATTTAAGTCCATTTTGCCATTTTGCTGACTCTTCTTATTTTGACTTCTTAGTCATTATGCAGCTTTTTAATGTTAGTTTGTTTCTTTGTTTTTAAGAGAAAAAGGGCTCCTTTGCCCTTGCTTGTTGCCCAGGCTGGAGTACAGTAGCACAACCATAGCTCATTGTAGCCTTGAACTCCTGGGCTCAAGTGATCCTCCAATCTCAGTCAGCCTCCTGAGTAGCTAGGGCTACTCAGTACAGTACATGTACAGGCATGTGCCTCCATGCTGAGCTTATTTTTAAATTTTTTGTTGAGACAGGGTCCTATTATGTTGTCCAGGCTGGTCTTGAACTCCTGGCTTCAAGTGATCCTCCTGCCTTGGCCTCCCAATTCATTGGCATTACAGGCATGAATCACTGTGGCTGGCCAGCTTTTTATGTTTTTATACAAATTTAAAAAATGACATCTCTGGGTAGCAAGAGCAAAGAGCCTCTAGGGTATACTCTGTACAGTGAGTTATCTGCTGAGATGGGTGGGGCAGGTTTGAGAGCCCTAGTTCCAGATAGGTTTGTTCCTGCCTCTTCCACCTCTGCCCACCTCTTGCCTACCTGATCTTACTGAGAATGGACAGCGGTGAATGCAGAGGGAGATTGTGAGAGCTGTGTTTCTGCTTGTATTCATCCGTTTTCATGCTGCTAATGAAGACATACCTGAGACTAGGTAATTTATTAAGAATAGGTAATTTATAAAGAAAAAGAGGTTTAGTGGACTCAGTTCCACATGGCTGAGGCCTCAAGATCATGACAAAGGTGAAAGGGTCATCTTACACGGTGGCAGGTAAGAGAGAATAAGAGCCAAGTAAAAGGGGAAACCCCTTAAAAAACCATCAGATCTCATGAGACTTACTCAATACCACAAGAGCAGTGTGGGAGAAACTGCCCCCGTGATTCAATTATCTCCCACCAGGTTCCTCCTGCAACATGTGGGAACTGTAGGAGCTACAGTTCAAGGTGAGATTTGAGTGGGAACACAGCCAAACCATATCATTCCATTCTTGGTTCCTCCCAGATCTCATGTCCTCATATTTCAAAACCCATCATGCCGTCCCAACAGTCCCTCAAAGTCTTAACTCATTTCAGCATTAACTCAAAAGTCCACAGTCCAAAGTCTCATCTGAGACAAAGCAAGTCCTTCTGCCTATGAGCCTGTAAAATCAAAAGCAAGCTAGTTACTTCCCAGATACAATGGGGGTATAGGCATTGGGTAAATACAGCTGTTCCAAATGGGAGAAATTGGCCAAAACAAAGGGGCTACAGGCCCCATGCAAGTCTGAAATCCAGTGGAACAGTCAAATCTTAAAGCTCCAAAAGGATCTCTTTTGACTCCATGTCTCACATCCAGGCCATGTTGATGCAAGAGATGGGCTCCCATGGCCTTGGGCAGCTCTGCCTCTGTGGCTTTGTAGAGTATAGCCCCCTCTCATGGCTGCTTTCACGGGCTGGTGTTGAGTGTCTGTGGCTTTTCTAGGTGTACGGTGCAAGCTGTCGGTGAATCTACCATTATGGGGTCTGGAGGACGGTAGCCCTCCTCTCACAGCTTCACTAGCAGTGCCCCAGCAGGGACTCTGGGGGCTTGCATCCCACATTCCCCTTCCACACTGCCTTATCAGAGGTTCTCCATGAGGGCTCTACCCCTGCAGCACACGTCTGCCTGGGGACCCAGGCATTTCCAAACATCCTCTGAAATCTAGGCAGAGGTTCCCAAACCTCAATTTTTGACTTCTGTGGACCTGCAGGCTCAACACCATGTGGAAGCTGCCAAGGCATGGGGCTTGTACACTCTGAAGCAATGGCCTAAGCTATACCTTGGCCCCTTTTAGCCACGGCTAAAGCAGTTGGGATGCAGGACACCAAGACCCTAGGCTGTACACAGCAGGAGGGTCCTGACCCAGCCCATGAAACCATTTTTTCCTTCTAGGCCTTTGGGCCTGTAATAGGAGCAGCTGCCACAAAGGTCTCTGACATGCCCTGGAGACATTTTCCTCATTGTGTTGGTGATAAACATTTGGCTCCTTGTTACTTACATAAATTTCTGCAGCTGACTTGAATTTCTCTTCAGAAAATGGGTTTTTCTTTTCTATTGCATGCTTAGACTACCAATTTTTTGAACTTTTGTTCGTTTCCTTTTAAAACTGAATGCTTTTGACAGCACCCAAATCATGTCTTGAAAGCTTGCTGCTTAGAAATTTCTTTGGCCATATACCTTAAATCATCTCCTTCAAATTCAAAGTTCCACACATCTTGAGGGCAGGGGCAAAATGCTGCCAGTCTCTTTGATAAAACATAGCAAGAGTACCTTTATTCCAGTTCCCAAAACGTTCCTCATCCCCATCTGAGATCACCTCAGCCTGGATTTCATTGTCCATGTCATTATCCATGCAGCAAGTCTCTAGGAAGTTCCAAACTTTCTCACATTTTTCTATCTTCTTTTGAGCCCTCAACACTGTTCCAACCTCTGCCTGTTACCCAGTTCCAAAGTTGCTTTCACATTATTGGGTATCTTTATAGTAGCATCCCACTCCCAGTACCAATTTACTGTATTAGTCTGTTTTTATGCTGCTGATAAAGGCATATGCAACACTCAATAATTTATAAAGAAAAAGACGTTTAATCGGCTCATAGTTTCACACGGCTTGGGAGGCCTCATAATCATGGCAGAAGGTGAAAGGCATGTCTTACGTGGTGGCAGGCAAGAGAGAATGAAAGCCAAGCAGAAGGGGAAACCCCTTATAGAACGAGCAGATCTCATGAGACTTATTCACTATCACAAGAACAGTATGGGGGAAACTGCCCCCATGATTCAATTATCTCCCACCAGGTCCCTCATGCAAGTTGTGGGAATTATGGGAGCTACAATTCAAGATGAGATTTTGGTGGGGAGACAGCCAAACCATATCACTGCTTTCAAGTTTAATTTGAAAAAAGTGCTCCCAGCAAGGTTGGCATCCCATCTCTGGTGCATTGAATTAGACTAGATTGTGCTAAAGTATAAAATATCTACAAAATTACAGTGGCATAAAAAAACAAACATTTTATTTTGACCTCAGTTGTCTAGTACAGGTCAGGAGCGGTACTCTTCCTTGTGATCTCACAGAGGCTCAGGCTGATTTTTCATTCTGCCATCATAACATGTGGTCTCTGTGGTTGTGGCAGCAGGAAGAAAGAGCGTATGGAAACTTTCCTAGGCTTTGGCTCAGTAGTGATAGGTATCAATTCTGTTCACAGCCTTTGGCCAGAACTGGTCACATATCTCCATCTAACAGCAAAGGAGCTGAGAAATGTGACAGCTCATGGATATATTCTGTGTACAGCAAATATAATTGCTATGCCTGGGGAAGGTTTTCAGGCCACTCAGACAATTCCCTCTAGGATGACATTACTTGGGTAAATTTATCACATCCCAGGGGATGAGGGGTATAGTCTCAAATGCCTATTATGTAAGTGCACCAAGAGTAAATATATCTCTCAGGGGCAGACTTACATTAACCTAGCACTTAGAGGCTGATATATAAAGCCAGAACACCAATTTGTTACTTTACAATGAGAAATGTAACTACAGAATAGATTAGATCAGAGCATTTTCTCCCTATTTGCATATCTGTTTGGGAAGCCAAATTGTAATCAGAAAGCTCCTTGGTGACCAGGGAGCCAAAAAAAGGAGAGCCAGCAAAATGGACTTAAATGGCAGATGTCATCAAGACGTGATAAACTTCCCCACTTAGCCAACACATTAGAATCCCATCATACTGCATTTGCTTTAGTCAAATTTGACTACATGTGCTCAGGTAAAGGCCAAATGTGATTTTAGTGTTTATTGATTGATTGAGATAGGGTCTTTCTCTGTCACCCAGGCTGGAGTGCTGTGGTGTGATCATAGCTTATTGCAGCCTTGACTTCTTGGGCTCAATCCATCCTCCTACCCCAGCCTCCTCAGAAGCTGGGACCACAGGCACGTGCCACCACTCCTGGCTAATTTTTTGACTTTTTGTAGAGATGAGGTCTCACTATGTTGCCCAGGCTGGTCTCAAACTTCTGGGCTCAAGTGACTCTCCTGCCTTGGCCTCCCAAAATGCTGAGATTATAGGTGTAAGCCACCACACTTGGCCTAAATATATTTATTTTTGGTACAACTCCAGTCCTTAGTTCAAGTGAACAATTTTGTCAAATACTCAACAAAACAGTGATTTGTTTTAGCACTGTAGTTAAAAACTGGTAGTGCTAGGCTTGTGAACTAGTATATCTGTCTACTATGGTTTAGGTCATTCATGGGATTTTCTTTTTTTTTTTTTTTTTGAGACAGAGTCTCACTCTGCCACCCAGGCAGAAAGGAATGTCTGGGTTATGACAAGGGGTTGTGGAGACCAAGCTTTTAAATTTTTTTTATTTTTTCCTTTTTAAAAATAATTTTACTTTAAGTTCCAGAATACATGTGCAGAACGTGCAGGTTTGTCACATAGGTATACATGGGCCATGGTGATTTACCCCACCTATCAATCAACCTGTCATCTAGGTTTTAAACCCTGGATGCATTAGGTATTTGTCCTAATGCTCTCCCTCCCATTGCCAAGGTTTTATCATGCAGTTGAAGCCTCCAAGAGCAGGCTTGAGAGAGAAAGATTGTAAATGTTTCTTATCAGACTTAAAAAGTCTGTATCAGTAATTCCAAAAGGGAGGAGGATATAACAAGGCATGTCCCCTTCCTATCATGGCCTGAGCTAGTTTTTCAGGTTAAGTTTGGAATGCCCTTGCCAAGAAGAAGGGTCGATTCAAATGGCTGAGGGGCTTAGAATTTTATTTTTGGTTTACAGGAACCCAAAAGGAACTGAGGGCGGCTTCTGGAAGCTGAGGGCAGCCTGTAGCCAATAGCCAGCAGGAAAATAAAGCTCTCAGTCCTATGAAAGCAAGCACCTGAATTTTGCCAACAACCCGAGTAAATTTGGAAGCAGATCCTTCCCCATTTGCTCATTCTTATGAAACTGAGACCCCAACCCTTGCTAACACCTTGATTGCAGATTTGCAGGGAACTCAGTTGTGCCTGGACTTCTGATTCACAGAAATTGTGAAATAATAGATGTGTGTTGTTCTCAGCTACTAAGTTTGTGGTAATATTGGTGCAGCAATAGAAAACAACTATCCAAAACAGAAACAATTACTTACTATTATTGAATATCCTGTTAATGTTCTCATTCCCCGATTGCCTTATACATTTTTTCCAGTTTTTTTTTTTTGTTGTTGTTGTTTTTTGAGACAGGGTCTGACTCTGTCACCTAGGCTGGAGTGCAGCAGCACAATCTCACCTTGCTGCAATCTCCACCTCCCAGGTTCAAGCGATTCTCTTGCTTCAGCCTCTCAAGTAACTGGGACTACAGGCATGCACCATCATGCCTGGCTAATTTTTGTATTTTTAGTAGACATGGGGTCTCACCATGTATACCAGGCTGGTCTCAAACTCCTGATTTCAAGTGATCCACCTGCCTCAGCCTTCCAAAATTCTGGGATTACAGGCGTGAGCCACCATGCCCGGCCTTTTCACAGTATTTTCCTAAGACATGCTGACTTTAGACTGCACTTGTGTGAGATGTGAATCCACTGTATGTAACTTGCCTCATAGCACAGTCCAGATTCTCCTTTCCATGCCTTAGCCTTTCTCTCGGGTAAGACCTGCCTGGGCCCTGCCAAAGCTTGACTCCCTGAGCAAGGTTTTCCAGAGCTTCCATGCTAACCAGTCCTGTCTTTCCACTTGGATCAGATTATAGTCAAGCCATTCTGTTCCTTTAATGTTGCTAGACATTGCCCAATGTTCCAGGGAGGTGGGAGTGAGGAGGGAAATCTGTCAACCTGCTGAGAACCACTGCTTTAAGTTTATCTCTCTTTTTTTCTTTCATTTATTTGTTTTGTGGCTTAACTCTCAGAGGGTGAATTGTTTTCCTCTTTCTAAGTTCTTTTCAGGAGAGGAATCCCTGCTACTGTCCATCCTTGTTTTCTGCAAGTTAGGTACCCAGCTGGGATCTGAATTCACACCCATGGTCAGATCTGTTGTAAAGCAATCTTACATGGTTGGTAAAAAGCAATGTAAGACACCCTGCTAGAAGCTGGCAGGGTAGAGACCTGGGGGGCAGGCGGCAAATGTGATTAGAGAGGGAGCTTACTGGGCTCTCAAGGGACTCACACTAACTGTGGAGACCAGGCTCATCCTTTTATGAAAAGATAATGAGCTCGCGTATGGGTCTGTGATTAAGGCCTACATATGGCACAGACACTGAGGGCAATGGCATAGCCAGGGGAATATTGAAGAAAAGGGCTTAGAAAGATCAGGGTATGAGCAAAGATGCAGAGATGAATGCTCAGGGTTTGTGTGGGTTTTGTTTAGGTTTTCTACATCTAGAAAATACTTGTTAGGTTCTGGGGCCACACAGAGAGAAATAAAAAAAAAAAAACCAGCAATTTTTAAATTAACAATCCAGTTCAATAGATAACACGTAAACACAAGGACAAATAAACAATACTGAAAGTTATCTTTACTGTTTATTTTTTGGAAACTATTACAATCTATAAAAAGGCCTTAGAAATCATAGCAATGGTGAGGCATTCCCAGTTTACGAGAAAGGGTAGAATCGTGGTTCTCTGATGATCAGCAACAGCACCACCTGGGAGCTTGTTAGAAATGTACATTCATGGCTGTGTGCGGTGGCTCATGCCTGTAATCCCAGCACTTTGGGAAGCCAAGGCAGGCAGATCACCCGAGACCAGGAGCTTGAGACCAGCCTGGCCAACATGGTGAGATCCCATCTCTATGAAAAATATGAAAGTTAGCCAGGTGTGGTGGTGTGCACCTGTAATCCCAGCTACTCAGGGGGTCTGAGGCAGGAGAATAACTTGAACCCGGGAGGTGGAAGTTGCAGTGAGTAGAGATTGTGCCACCGCACCCACTGGATTGTGTCACTCATTGGGTGACAGAGCAAGACTCTGTCTCAAAAAGAAAAAAAAAAAAAAAAGACACTTTGGAGACCAAGGCGGGCGGATCACCTGAGGTCGGGAGTTCAAGACCAACCTGGCCAACATGGTGAAACCCCATCTTAAAAAATAAATAAAATAAAAAATAAAGAAAGAAAGAAAAGAAAAGAGAAATGTACATTCATAGGCCCTATCCTAAACCAACTGAATTAGACGCTCTGGAGAGGCGGCCCAGCTATCTGGGCTGTAACAAGCCATCCAGGTGATTTTGGAGTATGCTTAAATTCGAGAACCATTAGGTATTTAGGCTTTCAGACTTAGCCACCATTTTCTTCACTCCTGAGTGATGATTGCTTGTGCAGCTCAATAACTTTTAAATGTACATTGCCCCATAATCTCCCTGACTATACCAACATACTTGCTGCTTAGTGCGCTTTTAGAGAAGCTTTTATTTTTTTTAATTTTTTATTAGCTTTTAGTTCTGTTCAGCATAGAAAAATTAGCTGTGCTCAGGTGGGAGCTGTTCAGTAATGTGTTGGTAATAAACAGATTAGTTAATCAGCCATGATTTATTAATGATGAATTAATTATACCTGATTGTGCAGTTCTGCTAGCTAAATGGAGCTTTAAAGGAGTTGTTTTATTAATCATCACAGTGCTAATTGCAGAGTCTTACAGAAGGATCACTAATTAAACATGCAACCATATGTAGAACAAGTTGGGCTGCTGAGACCTGCAAGAATAAAAAAATACTGATTTTTAAGGGAGCCAAAACAAACTTTATTTTATGCAATATTAGAGAGTTGACTTGGCAACGTTAATTAATCACTGCACATTAATATTGTACTTTTTTCCAGCAGGAATTGATCCATATGTCAAAACTGACATAGTATTCTAGTGAGATCTGTTATAGGGGAAGTATTGCTCAATTATATTTTCTGTTTACACATATGCAAACTACTGTAACAGAGACCATTGGTTAACTGGATGGGACTTAGAGAAGAAAGAGTGAAAAATTACATACCAGGTCTTTGTACTTTATATAGAGCATCAAGTGACTGGGAGATTGTGAATTCCTACAGACCCGGAACACTCCTGCGTGTTGAATCACAAAAAGAGGATTTATAGCCTGGTGCTATTGGAGTGAAGAAAGAAATGAGGCTGCCCAGTTTAAAAGGTATCAGATAAACTCAAAGACAGATAAATACAGGGAAAATTTTTCCAATTTTAGCTCAAGGTAGATGAAAGGCAGTTCATGACTTTTTGTGGATAACAAACATTTGTCATTTGGGTTTATTCAGCATCCAAACACCACTGTTCTGGCACCTGAAGTTGGGAAATTCTCATTGTGAGCAGTCTAAGGACATAGTACCCAACTTCTATCATGGAAGCCAAAGTGGCCAGATGCCATCTCTTCCTGCAAATCAGAGAGTGGGCATGCTACTCATGCTTAACCAAATCAGAAATGTTGTCCTGGGAATTTGGTAGCTTCTGAGAATAATGGCTGAAAGAATAGTATTTGTTTAATTTTGGTCCAGTAGGTAATGGAATTGAGTTTGTGTTGTATGAACATATGATAAATGTGTGATAAGGAGGAGGAGGATGATAGTGATGACAAACTTGAAGATTGTCTTTATTTTTCTGGAGTCCTCCATCTTGTATATTTCCTTTCCTTTTCATTGGTTTAAGAATGAATTTGTGATACAATTCTGGCCAATGAGACATGAGGGTAAGTTTTCAGTTCAGGGAGTCAAGTGAGGAAAAAGGTGGAATGAAACAGCATTTGACATGCATAAATTTACTTAACCTCCTGATTTTCAGTAAGGTATCCCTCCTTCATCTGTGCTTTGTGCCTTTGAGTCTTGAGATATTCTGTTTTATATTCTCCAAAGAAAAAAAACCTCAGTCTTTTTTCCAATGGTGGGGCAAGGAAATTGCCCAATGTGTGGGAGCTGTTCAGTACATATGTATTATATTATTATTATTTTTTTTGAGATGGAATTTTGCTCTTGTTGTCCAGGCTGAAGTGCAATGGCACAATCTTGGCTCACTACAACCTCCATCTCCTGGATTGAAGTGATTCTCCTGCTTTAGCCTCCCAAGTAGCTGGGATTATGGGCATGCACCACCACACCCAGCTAATTTTTGTGTTTTTAGTAGAGATGGGGTTTCACCATGTTGGTCAGGCTGGTCTTGAACTCCTGACCTCAGGTGATCCACCCACCTTGGCTTCCCAAAGTGCTGGGATTACGGGCGTGAACCACCTTGCCCAGCCAATATTATGTGTATGTTAGCATAAGTATACAATATGTATCAGCCGTCCAAATCAAGATACAGAATGTTCCAGTCACCCTAGAAGGTTCCCTCATGCTCTTTCTTGGCAAAACAAACAAAACGAAACAAAACAACTGTCCATATCTCACTCCCTAAAATTATCACTATTCTGAAACTTTTATCACTATAAATTAATTGCTTATTCATTGGCTTTTTTTTTTTTTTTTTTTTTTTTTTTTGAGACCGGGTCTTGCTCTGTCTCCCAGGCTAGAGTACAGAGTGGCTGGATCATGGCTCACTGCAGCCTCAACCTTCCAGCTCAAGCAATTCTCCCATCTCAGCCTCTTGAGCAGCTGGGACTCCAGTAGGTACATGCCATCACACCTGGCTAATTTTAGTATTCTTTGTAGAGATGAGGTTTCACCACGTTGCTTAGGCTGATCTTGAACTCCTGAGCTCAAGCAATCTGCCTGCCATGGCCTCCCAAAGTGCTGAGGTTACAGATGTGAGCCACTGTGTCCAGCCTATTCTTCAGCTTTTATAAATAGATTCACAAAGTATATACTCTTTGGTTTTGGTTTCTTTCATTCAACATGCTGTCTTTGAGATTTATACATGATGGTGAATTTATATTCTTTTATTGCTGTATAGCATTTCATTATGTAACTATATTACACTTTATTTTTACCTTTTGTTGGTGATCATTTGGGTTGTTTCTAGTTTTTGGTTATAAATACATTCTTGTACATGTCTTTTGGTAGACATATACACGCATTTACTTTGAATAGCATACCTAGGAGTATAATTGAATAATAGATTTATTATATGTTTAAATTGGATACTGCCAAATGGTTTTCTAATGCAGTTGAATGAATGTTACACTTTTCACCAGTAACATCTGAGAGTTCTACATTCTCACCAGCACTTGGTAGTGTCACTCTTTAATTTTAGTCATTTTGAGAGAGTGTACTGCTGTCACATTGTAGGTTTTAAATTGCATACCCCAGTGAGTTCTGGTGTTGTACAGCCTAATCATAGGTGTGTTGGACATTTGGGATCTTCTTTTGTAAAAATGCCAGTTCAAATTTTTGTCTACTTCATAATTGAGTTGTCTTTTTTATTGATTTGTAGGGGTTCTTTATATATTTTGTATACGAATCCTTTACCAGATGTGGATACTGTGAATATTTTCTCCTAGTTTGTGCCATGCTCATTCACTTTCTTAATGAAATCTTTTAATAATGTAAATTAATTTTAATAAAGCCTAATTTATCAATTCTATATTTTATGATTAATGTTTTTTGTGTTCAGTCTAAGAAATCTTCAACTTCCCCAAGAATATGAAGATTTCTCTTTGTTTTCTTTTAGAAATTATTTTACTTTTCACATGTAGATCTATGATCTACCTCAAATTAATTTTTTTGAGACAGATTACATTAACTCTATAACGCAATCTATAGAGAGCTGATATCTTAACAATGTTTAGTCTTCTAATCAATGAATTTTCCTTCCACATATTTAAATCTTTCTATTTCTCTTAGCAGTATTTTGTAATTTTCAGTGCAGTGACCTATGATTTTGCCACTGCACTCCAGCCTGAGTGACAACATGAGACCAGGCTCAAAAAAAAGAAAATAAAAAAAATTTTATCTTTCAGTAATTTATTATAAATATATATGCAACTGATTTTATATATTTATCTTCTATTCAGTGACCTTACTAGAATTTACAAATTCTAATTGCTTATAGAGTCTTTTTTTGTTTTTGAGACAGACTCTCACTTTGCCGCCCACGCTAGAGTGCAGTGGGGTGATCTTGGTTCACTGCAATCTCTGTCTCTTGGATTCAAGCGATTCTCCTGCTTCAGCCTCCCAAGTAGCTGGGATTACAAGCACACACCACCATGCTCGGCTAATTTTTGTATTTTTAGAAGAGACAGGATTTCACTATGTTGACCAGACTGGTGTCTAACTCCTGACCTCAAGCAATCTGCCTGCCTCAGCCTCCCAAAGTGCTGGGATTACAGGTGTGAGCCACTGCACCCAGCTGCTTATAGATTCTTTTGTTTTTTCTACATAAACAGTCATGCCATTTCTGAATAACAAAAATGTTTTTACTGCTTCCTTTCTACCTTTTACTCTTTATTTCCTTTTTCTTACCGCTGGCTTAGCTCATAGGGCATGTGCCCTGAGGGGGCCAAGTGGAAGCTGTGTCACCTTTTGTGACTTAGACTCACACCGTTTCACTTCTGCTACATTCTACTGTTGGAGGCATTTACAAAGTCTATCCAGGCTCATGGGACAGGAACCATGAATCCAACCTCTTGATAGAGAAGCGTCAATATCACGTTGTAAGAAGAGCATACAGGATGAGATATATTTAGCTGCAGCTACCTTTGGAAAATACAATCTGCCACATGAGAGTTTTGGAAAATTGCTCATATTCTTGGGAAGATGGGAACATAACTGGTTAGCAAAAACAAGGATACCTTCACTAAAAAGAAGAAAACTTGGTCGGGCACGGTGGCTCATGCCAGTAATCTCAGCACTTTGGGAGGCTGAGGTGGGTCAATCACCTGAGGTCAGGAGCTTGAGACCAGCCTGGACAACGTGGCAGAACACCATCTCTACTAAAAATTCAAAAATTATCCAGGCTTGGTGGCAGGCGTCTGTAATCCCAGCTACTTGGGAGGCTGAGGGAGAATTGCTTGAAGCCAGGACACAGAGATTGCAGTGAGCCAAGATCGTGCCATTGCACTCCAGCCTGGGCAACAGAGCAAGACTCTGTCTCAAATAATAATGATAAGAAGAAGAAAATGACTTGATGTAAATCTTGAACATTTTTTGT